GTTTGAATCACCAAAAAGAAAAATGAAAGATGAAACAATAACAATAGTAATAAACTTTAATTTTTCTTTAAGGGAAAAAACCGCCAAAAAAAAAATCTCAAACCATGTCCACTGTGACACATTTACCCTAAACTTTTTTATATGACACTAAAAATCACAAATTTATACTCATGTGACACATTTATCGTGTAAAATCCGCCTATATGGAATCTGTAAAACAAACGGTGTCGACATGGTGTTTACGTTGCTTAAGTGAAATAAAAACGACGTTAATTTGACTGATAAATCTGACAGAAAATTGAAAGAGGGTAAATGTGTCATATAGGTACAAGTTTTGGGTTTTTTATATCACAAGAAAAAGTTTATGATAAATGTGTTGTTGTGGGTATACTTTTGGGTTTTTTATGTTATAAAAAAAGTTTCGGGTAAATGTGTCATAATATGCATAATTTGAGGTTTTAGTGACTTTTTTCTATTTATTTGAAGAAAAATTTACGAGCATATACGGATTTTTGTGTCGGCATTACTTTAAGATTTATGCACTTGGACACTACAATGTTACGACGGAATCAACACTTGCAAAACGGTGATACCCCGTGTCACTTTGATGTAATAAGATCCAACAAATTGTGTTGCGATGTTCGAAATCGGGTGATTACTAAGAGAAAATTCTTTGATACAAGAAGCGGTAGCAAAATGTTTCTGGCTGATGAATATGGTTTCCAAGTCAAACGTAATTAATATCATTTCCTCGCAATTTCTTAAAAAATATCAACAAGTCTAACACAAACTCCTATGGTAAAAAAATTAATAGAGATTCTCGTATATGGAGCAAAAAGTCTAGCTTCGAGGGCATATTCGAAATGAACGATTTGGTACAAATATTGTACAAAAATCAACAAAATGACCCTTTTGACAAAGCCAAAAAAAAAAAAGAAAACATGAACCTCAAATCAAACATATAATTTGGCCTTGCAGGACATTCTTGACATGACCAATAATAATAATAATGATGGTAATATGGCCATAGCTTGTTTAAAATTAATCAAAAGAAAGAATTTACACGGAGACGGAGCAACAGCCGGGCAGGGCCAAGGTCAATCTCATAAATTTTTTTTTTCGCATTCTAAAAACAGCAGCTTTTCCATGCCCTTCATGTCTGCTGAAATAGACGTGAATGATCACGAGAGCTCTTCAAATCCTATTCAATCTAATTAAATATGTAACAAGGTAAGGACAGCCAAGAGCAATTCAATGGCTGAATGAGATGTACTTTCTGCATAGGCAATCCTAGCGGTATCCCAATCATAATACTTATGCAAAATTCACTTAATTCTGTTTCAGTTGACCTCCCCCGAATTTTTTTAATGTCCTTCTGGATTTCGTATTTTGCTACAAGCGCTCGATTGAATTTTTAATAATTTCACGGTTCAATCTCGAAACCCTGAGCAACACCGATAACGAGTTTTGGTCACAACACGTCCGGTTGCGATAATAGCTGCTCCGGTACAGGTCGATCGCTCATTACACCGTTCACTTGACCGCGATAACTATTCTGAAAACACCCGGCGTCTCTTTTCTCTCGCTCGCTCTGCCAATGATAGATTACTAATCGAGGCTATAATGATTATGTTAATCTTGATAATACATCATTGTTTATTACATCATGTATTATCATCAATATAATATTAACCATAAAATTAGTTGATTGCTCTTAGGTACAACAGTCTAGATTTTCGTAATTAAATATTATATTAGGGTTAATACCACGAAAATTTCAAATTAATGCACCTGTGATAAATTTACCTCAAATTAATTTTTTGACAACTAAAAACCCCAAATTGGTACAGTTATGATAAATTTACCATGAACTAATTTTTTAACCATCAAAAACCCCAAATTGATACATTTGTAACAAATCTACCGTCCGTTAAATTATATTAATACCTCGAAAAATCATAAACCGGTACAGCTGTAACAAACGGAGAGGGTAAAACTCCAAACTAGTATACCTGTCAACTGTCACGTGTCATCCCACTTAGAAATTTAACGGTAAAATTTACCATAAACTAACGGAGGGTAAAATTATAACAGGTGTACAAGTTTGGGATTTTTGGTGATCAAAAATTTCTTTTTAAATAAATTTATCATAAATATACCAGTTTAGAAATTTTTGGCTGTATTAACCCATTATACTATGCATTGATATAATGGGTATTGATCAACGCTCAAAACACGACACGACCATTGTCCCAATCGCACTAACTAACTATTCATGTGAAAAATAATAATTTGAAATAAATATCATCACGGGCTGTTATTGTCGGGTTTCGGAATGGGGAAAGAAAATCAAAGCAGCTGGTCAAAATCAAATGGGGACAAGCTGATGTGATCGATCTTTGATTAAGTTTAGTGTTTTGATTAGTACCACGTTTAAGGGCAGACAAGGCAATGATTGAGCTTCATTACTTGGTTTTTTATTATTATTTAATTTTGTTAAAAAAGGGTGACGAGAAGCAAAAAAGCTAGAGATCGATGTGGTGGACCGGCGATCCTTGGAGTACCTGAAGATCTTTCGTCAACTTGTGTGGGGTCGAAATGGATGATAAGTTTGATATAGAAAAGTGCGCTCCGTTTCCTGTGAATCGCGTTAATGAATTGTTTTTTCTTTTTTCTTTTTTTAACTTGACACACTCGTTTCACATGCCTTAATAAGATCGATTTTTAGGGTTCGCTTGTTGGGAGGAAAGCTACTTTTTTTTTTTCGGGGAATTGTTTTTCCGATGTTTGGATGTCAGTTTTTCATAGATTGAAAACAACAAGTTTAGATTGGAGGAAAACGGCTTCCTCTCTTGGCCAAAAGGAATTCGCTTTTCCTAAACCACCAAACAAGTAAAAGCGACCTTTTTCCTTGAAAATATTTTTCTTTATCATAAAATTTTCAGTGAAAAATACTCACCCTTAATTTTCGAAGTGATGATTACCCAAACACATTAATATTCAAGAAATTTGATTTTTCATAGATGGCTCGATAAGTGTCCTAGAAGCACACGTCGATGAAATAATACTTGCATTGTGCGACGCATTGGCACAATGCTTTTTATTCAGTTTTTTTTTTTTTTATTATTATTATTATTACTACTGCTGCTGCTGCTACCTGTTTCGAATTTCAGAAAATATATCGATAATGTTTGATAGGTTAATTTACCAGACAACAATATGGTGCCGTACCATTGCGAGTGAAACATATCGTTCCTTAGGAATTCATCCGCAAAACATTCATTAAAGTACAGGGACCGGAAATGCAATTTTCCTTTAAGTGCGTACCAATAAGAGTCACATGCTGATGTACCACTACTGCCAAGTCGTCCGTCCGTATATCAAAGATAACTTTAAGGGACTAAGATGTGCATAAAATACAGCACATGGATCGGAACAGGATTGGAGCAACAGTTTCGTGGACATCGTTTCGTAATTATCCCCCCACAAGTACATACATAACTACCGAGGAAACTAATTAACAATTCGGGAGATAAAAACAGAACGGAGTTCTCCCGGGACTAAGCGCGACGATCGATCGAGTTCCTCGCACAAGATTTCAAATACCGTCCCGTCATACGGTATCGATTGCAGGGCACCGATTTTGTGCATAAGACCGGCCTGTTGACCCCATCAAATGGGTGGGGCGCGCGCAAGCAATTTCGCTTCGCAACTGAGGCAGTGTCCGGATTGGACTTTTAACCCCTTTTTTAACTTCTTAACCGGAGACTTTTCCGGGTGGAAATAGCTCGGCCCTTCATAATTTTTTTTCCATACAAAAAGCACTTGTAATTCTCTATAACATGTTAAGGATTTTTCCGGTAATATGCAAGGATTTGAATTGAATATTTTGCGATATTTTATGGTGAGGACACGAACTTGGGATTAGTATATAGTATAGTATATAGTATAGTATAGTATAGTCGAGTCGAGGGGGGGAGGGAGACAGTGGGAGACACTGTGCGTCGATAAGGAACAGAAAGGGACAATTATTAAGGAGGACTGGGAGGGAAGGGAGGGTAGTGGGGCCCGTGTTGCAGGGCGTGGGAGAGGATGAACATGACTCTGTCGGTTCTTTTTCCTCCATTTCTTCTTCAGAGAAACCAAACCCCCACCACCACCACCACCACCCCCCCCAAAAAAAAAAAAAAATTAAATAAAAGAAAATAATATTATTTTATTTTTATTTTAGAGACGCGCGCGCGCGCACACTCTCTCTCTCTCTTCCACCTTTACAATAAGGAAGCGAAACTCTTAGTAGTAAAGGAGTTGTTGGGCTTTCTAGCCAAAAGAAGGGAGTGAGGAGTTGTTGTTGTTGTTGGGCTTCCACCTCAGGCAACCGACCTGTCCCTTGTTGCTGCATCCGGGGGAGTCCCTGGCTCGCCTTGTTGGGAGCAACTGAAGCACGCCCCCGCAACACACGACCCGCTCGCTCTCTCGCTCTCTCTCTCTCTCTCTCTGCTCTAGCCCCCCCATCATCAGTGATGGTCGAGCTCGTCGTGCCCCGGCAGCCATGATGAGGAAAAGCTGCTGCTGCTGCTGCTCCTCCTTGCTCCTCCTTTCGTGCTGCTCTCTTCTCTCCTAACCTCCTCCTCCTCCGCCACCCCACCCCAGGTTCCGAGGCCCCATCTGCGCGTCTGAGTTCCCCATATCAACTCCTTTCTTTCTTTCTCTCTCTCTCTCTCTTTCTTGGTCTCTCTCTGTGATGCAAATTACCAAGCTGGTTGTTGTCAGTCTCCTCACACATCTCCACGACAAAGCTCGCTGACTCTCCCTTCCCATCCCATTCACCAGCGAATTCCGTACTTTCTCGTGCTGAATTCTGCTCAGCAAGACGAGGCCTACTTAGCTTCACCGCCCCTATTCTCCCTCTCTCCCTCTGACCTGAGAGAGCGAGAGAGAGAGAGAGAGCTGGAAATCGAGAAAGGAAAAGAGGGTTTTGGGTGGGGGGGGGGGGGGGGGGGAGATTTTGCGTGAAAACAAGGACTTTAAGATTGTGGGCGGGGATCGAAGACCAAGGAGAGAGAGAGAGAGAGAGGGAGACAGACAGAAAGAAACAGTGAGGAGTGAGGGGTGCAGTTTTCCATGAAAAGAGAGAAATGGAGCTCAAGCCCCAAGAAGATGACGTCACGGCTCCGGTCTCCTCTCTGGGCTTCGCTCACTTCGCCCGCGACTCCAGAAGGATGGAGGGGTTGCACAACGGTGCACCCATCCTCGCCGCTGATCCTGAAGCCCTAGACCACCACCACCACCACCACCACCCACCGCAGCAGCGCCCCAATTTGCACCAGCCCCACCCCCACCAAGACGATGAGGTCAAGCCCGAGCGCGAGGACTCGAACCCGGATCCCGTCTCCTTCGCCTTCTCCAGGTCTCCCGCCCTCCCGGCCCCCGCCGGATCGAAGCCGAAGCCCGCGCCGCCGCCGCCGCCGCCCCCCCACGCCGCCGTCAGGTACCGGGAGTGCCTCCGGAACCACGCCGCGAGCGTCGGCGGGAGCGTCTACGACGGGTGCGGGGAATTCATGCCGGCCGGCGAGGAAGGGACCGCGGGGGCCCTCAGGTGCGCCGCGTGCGAGTGCCACCGGAATTTCCACAGGAAGGAGGTCGACGGCGGGGGTGGCGAGGGGCTGCAGCTCTCCGCCGGCTTCCGGCGGGGCCTGGTCGCCCCGCTCCAGCTGCCGCCACCGCCGCTGGCATCCCCGTACCAGAGGTACTCGGTGGGCGTCGTCCACAGCCCGATGGTGACGCCGATGAGCGTGGCCTTCGGCGGCGGCGGGGGGAACGAGTCCTCGAGCGAGGATCTGAACCTGTTCGGCTCCGATCACCATCACCGCCACGCGGCGACGGCGCCCCCGTTCTCGAAGAAGAGGTTCCGGACGAAGTTCACGCCGGAGCAGAAGGAGAGGATGATGGAGTTCGCGGAGAGGGTGGGGTGGAGGATCCAGAAGCAGAACGAGGAGGAGGTGGAGAGGTTCTGCGGGGAGATCGGGGTGAAGAGGCAAGTGCTCAAGGTGTGGATGCACAACAACAAGAACAATGTCAAGAACAAGCAGCCATCCGACGAGCCGGCGTGACCCATCTGCGCAAACTGGGGTTGAAGATGAAAGGTGCAAGCTTTTTTTTTTTGAGGTGAGACTACTCCAAACTGATCACTCCGCAGATGGGTCTTGCGTAGTTAGTAGATTTATCGATCTGATGATGGGTCATCCATGTTTTTAGCCAGTAATCTGATGAACCAGTGCAATCTGTAGTAGAGAACCCTGCAAAATTCTTTGCTTGTTGATGGGTTTAGTGCTTAGCTACTATTTCGGGTCTCGCGGGTGCGCTTGATGAGCTCGATCTTGAGTCTGCAACATCTCTCTCTCTCTCTCTCTTCTCTCTCTCTCCTCCTGCATCCAGCTACTTAGCTTCGGGGAAGACGATGATTCCGACCATTCAGCGAAGTAGGGAACAGTTAGCGCTCTCTGATGATTCCATAAATCTTGTTCTTGTAGCTGTTGAGCGGCGGATAGATTCGTGGGTCGTGTTCAAACCGATTCAAGAAGTGTGTGTCGAAATGCATTAATTGGGTGAACATCGGATTTAGTAAATGCTGAGCATGATCATCTTTCGATATGGATTAGGTTAGGCTTTAGGATAGCAGTAGTACCCTCCAGCTTGTATTCTGTCTTTTCTCAGTGCTACGAGCATCATCTCTCTCGTCTCGACGTCGGGAAATCTGGCTTGCGCACGCACGAATTCACGGTTTCATCATTTAGGCTCGAGCCGTACCTGTGCAAGAGTCCTGAGATTGATCGGGAACAATGTCTCTTTCCCGCAAGCGGTTTTGGACAGAACAGAAACCGAGCTTATGGCCCAAAAAAACAAAAGAGTTGGCATCTTGCGCAATACATGTAAGCCGTGTTGTTGCAAAATATGGAAAAAAATTCGAACTTTTCCTTAAGGAGGAGACGAGAACAATCTTATATTAAGGTATATCGGATCGCTTATCTATTAGGCTTATACGTTCTTTGTGTATACACGTGGTCTTTCTCGCTTATTAGTTTAAGTTTTTGGGTTGGGTTTTTCAATATTGTTTCGAAATGAGGTCTTGTTATGTCATTCCTAATCATCTTATTTAGTAGTTATTTTGGCCCTAGAAGAAAAGTATATTAATCTGTCGAAAACGTAACACGTAACGAACGATTATGAATTCCGTGGCATATGATTGGAAATTCGTGTTTAGCGACTCGGACGACACTGAATAAGTGAATGCAATAAATAGATAAATAAATTTATTTTATTCAGCTCGCCTGCAAAAAGGCCTTCGAGTACAAAAATTCAGAATCTACATAATTTCCCTTAGTATTCATTCTTAGCTACCTAAGGAGAATTTTAACTCCTTCCACAGGATGCTAGCTAGTTCGCTAGAGACATCCCTCAGGAAAGCCTGGCAATAATTTTACCCTATTAGCTACACAAGAACTGCAAAATTAACCATGAAATTGCAGATTATTTTGAGACATAAATGTGCTTGAAGTGATTGTCAACGTTCTTATGCCGATTAGGGTGCCGCCGCCGGCCCGTTCTCGTCGTTGTCCGGATGATAGAGGCCGAAATTCCTGCATTCATCAGGAAGATCGACAACGGTTCAACATTAGGAACAGATAAAACCGTAGTGATAGCGGTAATAAGTAGTGAGAGGAGTGAAAAAATGTGTTGCCAATCGAGGGCTGATTCGGGATCGTACTCGAGCTTGCCGGTGAACCAGTGGGACCATGAAGAGGCGGAGTCCCCAGCGGCCTCCGCCGCATCCACCGCGGAGTCGGCCATTCTCTCGGCCGCGCCCTTCGCCGAATCGGCGGCCTGGCCCATTTGGTCCCCCCCTGGCGCGTACTGGTCCGCCCACACCGCAGACTGGATCGCCAGGACCAGGAGCAGCGAGAGCAAGAGCGCTGACGCGATCTTTGCCATCTTCCGCGACAGTTTTCGACCTCCGGAGAAGGGGACGGGGAACTTGGTTGCAATAGACTGCGAGAGAGAGAGAGAGAGAGAGAGAGAGAGAGCAAAAGAAACAACGGCTCTTTCTATTCCTTTTCTGTCAATACAGTCTCTTGACAAGATGAGGAAGTGGTGAGATTTTGGCTAAGTATTTATAGCGCGAAGGGGGAGCTATATTTAGGGGGCGAAATTGGACGTGTCCGGACGATGACGACCGCGAGAGACGAGAAGTGGGAATGGCTGAGAGCAAATTGTTGAATTCACGTGTCCCTTTTGCATGTCCTCTGTGGCCTTCCATGCACGAGGAGGGTGTTTTTGGGTGGGTCGCAACGCTCCATTTGGTGCCCCCCCCAATTTGAGAAATCCCATTTGTGTGGTGGCACAAGATCCTCGAGGGCGAAATGATCGATTCGTTCGTGTGTATGAGTATATGAACTTGAAGTATTCAACTCTCTTCGACATGCTTATATATGCATGTATAATGGGAATTCCGTCTTATTTTTCTAAAAGTTGAAGCTAATGGAAGTGGGTGCACAGCAAAACGAAGAGTCTGTGGTGTCGATTTGGTCACGGCTCGCGTTAAACTTTCCAAGAATGATATGTGCTGAATGATCCGTCTCTCGGGCTCTTCTCGTCATCCTCAGGGATGCACGGAAACGACCAAAAACGGAATTATAGGCAGCCAGGAAATTATATCGCAGGGGTCTTGACTCTTGACATAAAAAGAAAGACAGAGAAAGACGGGTGCAATATATTGTTTTGTATCTCGAAACTTATTATGTATATATTATAAAAGGAGCGCTTTGTTTTTACGCTGATGTAGCTCAGATGGCATAGCTCTGGCTTTACATGCGAGAGATCACGGGATCGATTCCTAGTACTTGAATATTTTGATCTTTTCTTTTCTTTTTTGTTTTGTGTATTTGCCCTGGTTAAATCATTCAAGCAAAAGAAAGGGATGACGATTGGCATCACCAGGAGCAGCTGGTGATCAGCTCTGTTTCCCTGTCACCATGTACTCATCACTAATATGAGTTTCGACTCTCACAGACCGCCCGAACATTTGAGAGAGATCTTCGATCGTCATTCGAGTTTGGTGCAATATATTCTAATGCGGATCGCTTTTATGTTTCCGCGACACGACGTTTGTGCAAGTCAACCATGGTTTCTGGACGCATGAAAAGATGGTACGAGACAGAGAGCACCATCATATTCCTCTTTTTTACAAAAGGAGATGAAATTAAGCGTTGCTTCATAGATACAGAGTTTGACAGACAAACAGTGAGCAGTCCATCGCATAATCACACCGGAAGGTGGCATTAGGGAAACTTTCAAAGAAAACGAGGAAGGAGAAGAGCAGAACCGCAGCCTTCACGTCGCCGGCTGCTTAATTCTTTCGTTTCTTTACAATTTACAGATCTTCTTCGGGCGATTGCTTTCGCCGTCATTAGAGCTTGAGGTTCTTCAGTATCCTGCACAAAAAACAAGGCAACAAGATGAATGAACTTGAGGATCTTTGAACTCCATGATTAGTAGACTGGGACTCCACGTCACTGCACTTGTTATCCAACGGCAAGCTCACTAAAACGCCCGGTCTTTTGTTAGATTATCGCAGAAAGATAAATTCAATGCATGATCACGTTATCAGTTCAGATTGCGTTCCACGCCATAGTACAATTTTTTCATGCATCGAGACTCAAATTGCCCATCCGCACGAGTCTATCATCCGCGGCAAGTAATTCTGAATTTATTAGCAAATGTTGCAGATATGTTTTCTTTTTTCTTTTTTAAGGTACAAGGAACTACAATCCCCGTGTCCCGAGGACCCTAGATGATTCAGAAAGAGTGTGATGGAATTTATAAGTAAAGATAAAAAAGAATAAGTGCTTTGGGATATCAGATCACCATCTTGAACCGTATAAAACAATATGGATTTCAGTTTGGCCAGAGAACAAGAATATGGGAGCATGTGCAAGAGATCTAAAAAGAGGCAAGATTAGGTTTCATGCGAGCTTTTCAACATGAACTGGAATAAGAAAATGGGCAGAAAGTGATGGAAATCTACATAAAGTAATAGAAAATTCATCTTACTAGGTAAGCTGGCAAAGGCTTTGAGCCTGAAAATCTAGGCACCAAAAAAAGGGAAAGAAATGGAACTGGCAGCATCTTCAGGAAACGTGGACAACTTACAAGTACACAAAAACAGTTAAATTAAAGAAGCTCATAGATTATTGTTGGTTCTTGCCCATTCCGATGCATCACACCTGTGTGCTTAAGCTTAAAAAATAAAAAGTTGTACTTATCTCATTGTCTGTCAAAGATAACTTGGACAATTTGATGCTGAGTCACTAGTCCTACTGCCCTAGTAAGTTGGTGAACCAAACCATTACAGAACAAGTTGCAAAGAACCTTCTGATTAGTTCTTGCAAGAAACTGTTCCTGATGGGTGAGCCTGTTCTATGGTTCATGGCGATGAATGACAATACATGTGCCAAAAGAGACCTGTCCACATTATATTTACTCAGAAATTTCTTCCACACCCTTTTTGTAGAAGCAGGGACATTCTTGATCTTGTGGGTGTTGCAGAAAAAGAGTTGGCCTACGGTCATTTACTTCAAAAGCTGATATGCAAAGGGGAAAAAGACAAAAAGATTAGCCCTTTTACAACCCAATTCATCTAAAACCGTTGGATCCTTTTGTGGACCTCACACTTGGACCCATATGATCTTACATTGGGGATGAATTGGGCGCAAACGCACCCGGATCACCCAAGAAAAACATTGCTTTTACATTTGCAGATCACTTCAGTGAAAGATGAATTGCATCAAAGCACTTGCCAAAGGGCAAAAGCGTATGTCATCCATCCAACACGTCCGCAAAAGATTTCTTTTCCGACTGAGGAGAAGATGTACTAAACACCCTTCGAACCTTAGTCATCATAAACATCTGTAGTGCTATTTGAGTGCAAAAAGGCAAAGACACAGGAGTAATCGCTGATGAATGACGAATGCTAACAGTGTCAGTGTCACACGTTACCTCTGCTCATCAGCAATGGCTCTGCTGGTGCTGAAGGAGGCAGAGGGTGCTCGGTACTTGGGCAAGGGGACTTGGCCGGACTCAATGTGCATGAGGTCCTGCACGAGGATGTCATAGTGCCTCTTCACTTCTTCCGCAGACTTGTTCCCGCCGACGGCCCGGGCCACGTTGTGCCACCGGTCGGGAGTGTCCTTGTCGTACAAGGCCAGCGCCCTCTCGAACATCTTGTTCTGCATAGGCGTCCATGATGATGAGTTGTACGAGAGCGAACTTGATGCCATTTCTAGTCTTGGGTTTCAGGGCCAAAGAAACCGAGAGGAGAGAGAGAGAGAGAGAGAGAGAGAGAGAGAGTATGTCTAAGAAAAGGACCTTTTCCTTTTTAAGTTGGGTGATTGCGTTGTGTGTTCTTCTTGGGGAAGAGATGGTCGCCCTCGCTCCTTTTTATACTGGAGAAGGATGAGAGAGCATGGTGGGATCTTGCAATTTGCAGAATCTCTTTCTCTTCCTTTTTTTTCCCTGGAGAAAGATATAAAATGCAAAATGTGATTCCTTCCCATAAGAAGCAAGCGGGTCATTTCCAAAGTCCGATATAAATTCATCGATTCGCTTGATATATCTGTTCAATGAACCAATCTTAATATGCCCGACATTTTCCGATAACAAAATGTATTTTTCCAAAGTCCCTTTCCGCCCATTTTGTTTTAGCAAGTGGGTTTTTTTTTCTTCTAAGCATTTTAGCAGATGGCGGGGATTAGATCCTGAATTCCCAGAATCCAGCACGCACACTCGCACGCACACAGTGAGAGCCCCAAAAGATGTGCGCCTTTATTACCAAGAGAAAACATTGGTGGGATCAGATAGGGTGTGTATATATCCCTCTCAATTTTTCCAATCGTAAAGATGTGGGTGGAGGATATTCTGCCTCAAACTTGTAAGCAACTTGACCCAAGTTCGTTTAACCCAGACAGTGAAATTGTTCTCTCCTGATGATATATATTATTATCATCTTGATTTTTGGGGAGGACATCTCTAGAGCAAGGATAAGGTTCAGCAGCAGCAGCAGCAGCAGATGGGGTTCTCTTATCATATGACGTATTAGGCATATAATCTTTGCCCAAAAAGCTGTCACTTGGACCCGGGAAGATTTACTGGTATCAAAATTGTGTGGAGCAGAGAAGTCAAGATGACAAATGCATGATGTCAACGAGGAAAAAACCAGATTCTGCGTTCCAGTAACTGGATCTCGATTCTCTTCTTTTCTCTCTCTCAATGATCGACAGAAATTTTCACGTCAAATCTCTACGTAGAGGCAAGCTCGACGGCATTATCAGAGTCAGGTCGTAACGTGTATCAAAAGGTAGATTGTGTCGGGATCACGTTTCTCGCTGTTTCTTTGAACAGATTACTGCTATCATTTTGTTTTTCTCTAATCTTTTGAATTAGAATGAACATGCATGAACCCTTTTGAACTGTGATGTTGTCTTCAAGTCACGTGTGACAGCTTTTATAGTTACCCATCACCACTGAAAGCAATCCCAAGAAGATCTTTCGGGCAGTGGCCAGCCAGGGGGACTTAGGGGAGGCGTGTGAATGAATAAAGTCAGTTCTGTTCTTTGGGATTCGGTTCTTCTCCACCTGCGGAGTCAAACTGGTGTGCTTGCTTTTTTTTTAAGGTGCAGCGTTGCATCACGTAACTCGTATTCTTAATTATGCCTTTTTGTCACAGAGAAAGAATTCATATCTCTCAATCTCTGTCTAGAAAAGTTCTTAGATACTCGTGGTAAACGTGAGCTCGACTTTTCTTATTTATCAAACGGGACCTTCGAATGAAGTAGACGGTGATGGGAGTCGCTTAATCTAACGACATATGTAAAATTGGACTCATATGCATCGAGAGCATCCAATGCTAGCTCCTCGTGTGATGTACGCATTGTCCTATTTGATCAACGGGCGAACCAAGTCATATGCTAAACTCAAAATTCTAATTATTTTCTTTGCAAAATGAATGGTTTATGGGCGGGCTCAAATATGCTCACGTGGGTGGCCTTAGGCTCAAGAAAGAAATTGCTTGCTCAGATTGCGCTTCAAGCCTTGTTGGCTTGGGAGCTTGAGTGGGCCCAATGAGTGATCAAGCGTATGATCAAGTTTATTTCTAGATTCACGTTGACACCGCACCACGCTTATTCATGAGTTCGGTCTGAGTATGGATATAGGAGTATAAGGTGCTATTTTTGACAACTGAATAGCAAAAGGTTCCTTAAAAACACTTCTCTTTAAATAGTGAATCAAGTCTAGAAGTCTTAAAATCAGTATCGAAGTGCAATCCAGTTCTAAAGTATATAAATAGAGCTGATAGAATTTTACGACTTGTAAAAAATAGATGCAATCAAAATCTTTTCGTTAGTTTCGTTGTTCAGTGTGAGGAAAAGAAATGTATACGGATTATTTTAATCATTTCTCTCCTAGGTTTAGAAGTGAGTTTGGCATCCAAATATACATGGAAAAGATGCCATGTTGAACACATAACTAGAACAAAAGACCATAAATCATACACATTTCCAAAGACTTGAGTACTCTAGGCTTTAACGAGCCATGAACTTTTTTATCCGAGAGGAGTTGTAATACTCGTGGCACCAATTCAAAAGGTTCTTCAAAGTGCTATGTTCCTGGCCAGATTAGGAATCAGTTCAAGGCTTTTGGGGTCATTTTGTATTTTGTTAGGGTCTTTTTCAGGACTACCTTTTATATTTGCATTCTTTCCGATGACTTATGTAACGACCTTGCTTCAGGGATTATTGGTGCGATGTCCCAGGCGCGTCGCCGACTTAGTTCTTTTATCTTGTTAACATGAGCATGCGAAAGCGTGTACAACAACAAACACCCAGACAACACAACAAACAAGCAGTCAGGAAAACACCATGCAGAATACACTACTTTCATATTGCTTCAGTACATTTACAAGCCCTTTTTTTTCTACGGGCACTTCTTATTTACATTATCCTCCTATCCAAAAACGTAGGCCGGAGGATTCCTGTCTTCTCTAGCAATGCTGCAACTCCAAAATCAGTACACCATGATGAAGAGAAGGTGAGACGTCCATACCTACAAGTTTAAAAGACAACGGAATGAGTCAAGAACTCATTAAGTAAAATCACTAATCCTGAGTTAGGAGGACGTCTCATTGTCGAACCCAGCATACGAACATTACTCGCATCACAACATCGATGGCATATCAATAGCAATACTATTGTTGTACCTCGATTATATGCATGTGATCAATTTTGGCTTACCGTCAAGGCACGATTTACCTTCGGCTTATCAATAAATTTAATAACAATAGACATCAACATGCATCAAAGGTTCATTAACCGTCTCACACGATTCTTCCCATACTTTCATGGGCTTCTAGTCTCAGGCTAGGTATTCGGAATCCACCGGGCATCTCATACTTTCAGGGGCTTCCAACTTCAAGCTGGGCAACTGAAATCCACCAAGCATCCCATACTTTCAGGGGCTTCTAGCTTCAAGTTGGCCATCCGGAATCCACTGGGCAACGTCCCCAAAATCCATTGGCGACGGCTATTTCCTTTATGTGACCACATAACAAGCATTTACTCTAGCCAGATTCTTATCTTTGTTTCTTAGCCGATGCAAACAACGACTGAAGGCGTGCTCATACAGGTGTGTACGTGTGTCATGGCCTATAATATCACAACTAAACTGATGAACTGAGCGTGACACGTGACTCGTGGCTTGGCCGACATGCATTGACGTCAATCCGAAGTCGAGCGAAGCTTGAATCAACACGTCTCAATGCCAATCCAATGCCAACCGCGGCCCGAGCCATCACGCCTCAACGCTGATTCCCATAACCGAGCGAGACTCGTTCGTGACCCGAGGCGTGTTCATCCTCATGAATGCAAGACATGAGCAAACCATACAAAAGCATTCCTCATCATACACACGACAAAATACGAGTGAGCACTTGTCTAAATTCAACAACGCAGCATATCGCCCTAGCTAAAGGTTAGTAATTTCACTTACCTTTGGTGAACTAGAGATGGTTTGGCCGAAAGAGAGGAGGTGGGCGTGAAAGGGAGGTGAAGGTGAGAAAATGAGCCAAAGGGTGGAAATGAAGGAGGGGGTGCTTCTATTTATAGGCTCCATTTGCATCATTGCTTGTTCAAATGGCCCAATCGATTTTCTTGAAGTGGCACTCCTACAAGGAAGAAGTGGCAAGCCTATTGGATGAGTGGCACACCTACTAGGGAGAGGTGGCATGCCTATTGGGATGGTGTGGCACCCTAAATTTTTAGGGAAATGATGGAAGGTCAATGTGTGCCATTCCAATTGGTATACCTAAGCCATGAGTCACTTGCTTCTTCTCCAAGCCAAATCTTTGGTCATCGTCACCAAATCTTCATAAGGCTACCTAAGAGGATGATTCACCTTTTGCATTTAATGACTAATGTTCTAGAGTCTTTTATTATGTCCATTTTTAAATAATATAGTAAACATGGGAATTAGGCCATTGGAAGCGCTAGCTTGGTCGGGTATGAGTTTTTCATGCTTATCCATGATCGTCCGTGCCAACCAAACCAAGATTCATAGCCGAATCACCATTGGATGAGGCTGGTCATGGCCAAACTTGCCTAGCAAGGCTAAGTCGGTGGCCCATTGCGTGGGCTCCATGACCGGCACTGGCTTGGAGCAGGGTCAGGCTGAACGAGCATATGGCCTATGCCTGTCCTGGCTCGTGCCCTTACAGCAGGGTCCACGGGCTGGCCGGGCACATGGCGGTGCCTGTCTTGGCTCGTAGCCTTATGGCAGGATCCAAATCCTGGCACAAGACCAGGCTCATGACCTAGCATATGGTCTAATGACAGGGTCACCGAGTCAATCCGTGACCCATCCCAGTGGCCCATGGCCAGTTCATGACCGGTCCCTAGCCAAGCATAATTGGTCTGTGGCCGACTCTTGGTTGTTAGTAGTTGTGTGGGATCGATCGTTCCGTGACCGACACATGGTCGCACGGATTGATCCATGGTCGTCCACGATCGGTACATGACCGTGCGGAACCACCCTATGACTGGAAAATGACTGCGCGGGATCGATCCATGATCGTCCATCGATCCGCGGTGGTACGTGACCATCCCACAACCAACCCTTATGATCAAGCAGCCGATCCATGGCCAAGTAGCTCGGTTCACTTGCGTGCTCATTGGAGTGGTTCACGGCCGATCCCTCTATCAGGCCATGGCTGATCCCTTGGTCACCCTTCTGATCGGGTTGATCGGTCCATGACCGTTCCTTGGATTGGTCCATGGCCGATTTCACCCACTTATCGGCATATCAGTTTCTTAGCCATTTCTCATGGCCAAAATCGTGGATGTTACAACTTATGTTTAGGCTATTCTTTCAAGGCTAATTTTCGAGTTCTTTTAGGTTTCAAGAAAATGCATTTGTTTTGTTAAGCGCAATCAGTCGTTTGCATCTTTTTAGGAACACATTATGTCGAGAGTCTCTCTCTGTCGCACGTCAAGCTTGTTGTGCCC